GTTGTAAAATGGTTCCATAGCATTGGGCCACGATAGGAAATGGCAAAGCTCGTAAGTTTATATTTCCGGAAAGGTTTTTTAAACCTTCCGGTAAATCGCGTTTAATATTTTAGGTAAAATATTTTCGAAAACCTTCGGCGTTTTTTTTGAATGATGTTGAAACATAAATTGTGTAATTTTGAAAATATTTAGTTCATAAATATCACGTACCCTCATGCTTTTTAGAAGAGGTTTAGCATTTGTGAAGCGATTTTGAAAATAAATAATGCGTGCTGCATGATTCTATTGTTTAAGAAGACAGTCGAGTTTAGATTTATTTGTACTACCCCAAACAATATTTTCATAAGATAAATAACTATTTATGAATGCAAAATATAGTTGAGTTAGTGTAGATTTGTTTAAGATTTGTCTGGTTTTATATAAAATGCCAATACTTCTTGAGATTTTATTGTTACTATGTTTAATATGATCTCTCCAGGATAAGTTTTCTTCTATTAAAATATCAAGTAATTTATTTGTGAATGAGCGCTCAATTTTGATGTTATTTATATATAGCATTGGTAAGGATTTTGGAATATTTCGTTTAGAATGGAATAAGGAAAACTTAGTTTTATCAGTGTTTAAAGATAGGCTGTTAGCGATAAACCAGTTTGATATTTGTTCTAGTTCATTATTTGCTACTTGAAATAGAGAGATAAAGTGGTGTCGTCTGCAAACATAATAGTAGACATAGTATTTGATGCTTTATATAGATCGTTGACATAGATTAAAAACAGCAGCGGACCTAAGATGGAGCCTTGTGGAATCCCACATAATATTTTAAGTTTGTTTTTCTGAAAGCCATCAATTATAGAAAAAAACTTTTTTAAGTTTTCTCTTAAATAAAAAATAACTCCACTCATGAGAAAAATCAAAATTTTTTAACACAATATTGTTCCATAAAAAAGCTCCACGAAATGAAATACAGGTTTTACCAAAGTTCGTTTGGATAATTGGTTGTTTAATTGAATTATAACTTCTTTAAAAATATTTACTTTTTTCTTTTAAAGAATATAAATTAAGAAAGAGGGTGGAGAAGAGTTGGTTTTACACTTGAACATTAAACAAAGAACATTAAAAACATTTACTTGATATATATTAAGAATACTCATATTAATTAAGAGTGAGTAAGAAGATCTTTGAAATTTATAAGTCGTGCAATGTACTTCTGTTGATAATAAAGTGGTTTTAAATTACTATTGTAGACGTTTCCCCACGCAACATTAGCATAATTAATATAACAATGTATAAAAGAGTAATAATGCTGATTTAGTAGATATTTATTCATAACGCTTCTTGCTTTATACAAGACTCCAATAATTTTTGCAATTTTACTACATAAGTTTCTGATGCGATTTTTCCAAAATAGATTTTTATCAATAATAATACCTAAAAAGTTTGTAGACGTTACTCTTTATATTTGAATATTATTGATATAAAATGTAGGCATATCACTTGGGAGTAAACGTTTTTTAAATGCTGGATAGAAGAGAGTCCATTTAGTGTTTTCAGTATTGAGCAATAGTTTGTTTGATTTAAACCAATCAAAGATTTTTGTTAGCTCAATATTCATATCATTAAAAAGTTTATTGATATTATTACATGATAAGAAGAGGTTTGTACCATCAGATTTTGGTACAATGTAGCCTTTATCACAAAGCAATTCGCAAATTAGATCCGATTCAGCTATCACATTTATAAGAAACCTACCCACAGCAGCAAATCAAGATGGAAGTTCATCGAACATCAAACATCAAAGCAAGTTCAAGTCGTTTCGGGAGTATGCTTGTAACCGACAATTAAAAGTTTCACTTGACAAAAAACAACAAAGTTCACTGAAAAATGAATTATTTTAGGGATATGCTGCAAAGTTTTAACCATTAGTAATTGTAATTATTCAACAAAAGGTTTATTAAAACTTGGTAATTAAATAGAACCACTTGATTTTAAAAGCATAAGTTAGTTTAAACTTTTTTCTTGCTTCAAGTCATAACACGACATTTGATTAAAAAGACAACTAAAACAATTTTTAAAAAATCAAAAAAATTGTTTATACATAACTAAAGTTTAAAGTTTCATTAGCTGCATGTCATAATTCCATTTAATCTTTTAGTACTCCATTCAATTAATATGAAGTTTATAAAAAAGTTGTTGTTTGTCGTTTCGTTGCGCCATTTTTAATATTATTCAAACTACATTGCAAACGTACCTATTTGCGTACCTATTTTAATATTATAAACGTACCTATTTGCGTCAACGTATAAAGATTAAGCGTTTAAAAACCGGTTTCTTATTGTTTACGAAATAAAAGGTTACAAGCATAGTCCCGAAGAATTTCTATGCGGTTGAACTTCATCTGTTTTATACTTCCATGGTTATAACAGGAAAGTAAAAAAGTCGCTTTGAATTTAGATTAGTTCTTAAAGTTTCTCTATGACTCGACGATTTTGATGGGGTCTAATACTATTGAATTTTATTTTTCTCAAATCTAATATTCAAAAGAAACAAAATTTATTGCTGATTTAGAAACTAATATTGGTTTTTTTTTATAAATAAAGTTATAAAAAACATTTTTATTTTTGTTAAAAGTCACGTTTTTAACAGAAATTGTCATAATGCAACTTTTTTATAATCATAATGGCTTTTTTTTTAATTTTATTTTTCACTTATAAAGGGACCCGTGAAAAATCTAAAAAAAGAAAAACTAATTTTTTAACTTTTAACTAAAAAATAACGATTCGCCACTCGTTCCGCCCAGTTTGACGTCATTAAAAGAAGAGTATCTCCGTCTCCAAAAAGTTTTTTAAATTTCAATGGATTTAAAAAAAAAAATCTGTTAAACATAGCAACAGCTACTAAAGATTACATACTATAGTATGTAATCTTTAGTAGCTGTTGCTATGTTGCTATGTGAATCACTGAGTTTATCTGGTATACCAGATAAACTCAGTGATTCACTTCACAAGGTGAATTGAGTCACAAGGGTTTATGTATACTTACTATGGACTAAAATAGAACTAACTATAAGATATATTTTAGAATTTCTTTTTTAAATCTCCAAATTTTTTTGAATATTTCAACGTCAACACATTTATCACCACAAACAGCAATTAAAGTCGATGGGCAAAAAAATGCGTGTTTTATGCAAGAGGAAAGTATTTAATGACAGAAAAATATTAAATGTTTTATTAAATGCTTAAGCATGGGCTCTTAATGGCTGGTGAACTTTAACTAAGATATAACTCAACTTTTTTCAGCTAATCTTTATTCAATAATCTAGATCTTCCTATATTTATGAACGGTAATGTACTCGATAATTCATCTACCATTCGTCTTTTAGGATTAACTCTTAATTCCAGTTTTCCTTGGAAACTATACATCAAATCTATTGCAAAATTAGTTTTTGCTATGGTTGCATTTATTTATCGTGCTTCGTCACAAAATCTATTCTTTATCTCTTTAAACCTCAAATCCGGCTTTGCATGGAATACTGTTGTCATATTTGAAGAATTTGTTCAAGACAAAGTGAAAAAAATTTTTCACTTTTTCCTGACGCTAGTTCTTTAGAGCAGCGCCCACTATAGTATTTATAGAAAAGAAAAAGAGAAGTAATATTACTAGGTGAAAGTAGGTTGCAAAAGCAGGTCCAACTAAGTTTATAATGTATTTTTTCACTTTTTCTCTTCAAGACAAAGTGAAAAAATACATTATAAACTTAGTTGGACCTGCTTTTGCAACCTACTTTCACCTAGTAATATTACTTCTCTTTTTCTTTTCTATAAATACTATAGTGGGCGCTGCTCTAAGGAACTAGCGTCTCTTGTGCTAAAATAAATTTTTCTGTAACTCATCATTCAATTACTGTGAAGGTTCTTACTAAAATTCTAATTGAAATGTTTTAACTAAAATTCTAACTGTTTTAACACTAAAATTGATTCTCGTGTTACTCGCCATTCAATTACTCTGACTGTTCCTAAGTACTCCAAAAATTCTTATTTGTCTAGTTTTTTTCCACGAACAGTTCCTTGAAACCTGCTCCCTTCATCTTGTTTTCCTGATTCTCTTCCTTAAATTTCGATCTTTCAAACCGTCTGTTAAACATTATCTTGTTTTACAAACTTCGTCTTTTCTCCTCCAGTAGCTTCCATCTCTAATAGTGGTTACTTGCAACCTTATTGGAAGTGAAGTTGTTTAAAAAAAAAAAAACATAAATATATATGTATATATAAAACATATTTAAAAAAATTGGCCCAATGTTGTATACAACGTTTACCCAACATTGGCCCAACGTTGTATATAACGTTAGGCCAATGTTGTATACAACATTGGCCCAACGTTGTATACAACATTGGCCCAACGTTGTATATAACATTGGCCCAATATCGTATGTTATATATCGGCCTAACGTTTTATGCAACATTAGATCGTTGTTACAAATAAGATGATTTGCATCGCTACATTGAAAATTTATAGAGAAAAAAAAGAATGTATGATACAAGTATAAAAATTTATTTATTTAACATAATTTATCGGTTAAATATACATATTGCAAACACCAAACTGACACATTGAGTTTTAAATATAATTTGAGTATTTTAAATAGAAATTGAGTTTTAAACATAATTTATCGGTTAAATATACATATTGCAAAACCAAAAACTGACACATTGAGTTTTAAATAAAAAAATTCACTATAAAATTTATAGAGTAGTTTCGATATTGGCTGAGCTACTTGTTATTGAATATTGTTTAGCTTATGATATTTGGTGCCCACGTCTATTATTTTTTCTTCCTCTATCTCTATCACATGTCTGTATAAGCCATGCTTATTTGACTTCACAGTTTCTGCAAAAAAAATAGTTGTTTGTTTAATTATGCACCAAAGAAACATATCAAATTGAAAGTTTGTAATGCAAAATTGAAACTGAAAAAATAAACTTTTCTAAACCACTTACCAATAGCAGCATATGCAATCAATATTTTTTCTATTCCAATTTTTTGTCCTCTCCCTGCATAGTTTAATTTTACAACTAGGCCATTTTAAAAAACTATTCTTAGCAAATAAAATATACAATCTCCTTTGTCTATAACTCCGATTTGTGCCAAATAATTGACCTGCAAAAATACACAACCTGGCAATAATTAAAGTAACTTTTGTTTAGACTTAAATTAATATAAAATGTAATTTACAAAAAATCTTCAAAGAGTATTTTATTTAAAGATATCATACAAAATGCATAAAAAATTATAAAAAAATATTTACCATTTACTTACGTATTTTCTTTTCTTCCAGAGTACTTGAATTCTTCACTGCTTTTAATAGCAATGGCACTCTTTCAGGCAATACAATAATTAGTATACCTTTGTTACTCAAATTTTTATAACTGAATTTGATGTATTTTGTAGTTTACCAAGTTGTACTTCAATGATGACTAAGAATGAACACTAAGAAAAACATAAATTTCAGAAAAAATAAATGGGTAGCACCAAAAAAAAAACATTATAGCTTAATTGAGCGTTGTATTTTGAAAATGTGACAAGTCACAAAATTTAAATTTTACAAGGGAGTGAAAAATATTAAAACTTTAAACTGATATGAATACTGGTATAAATACAAATACTGTTGTTTTTTTCAACATTTGATTTCAAATGGTTTTCAATTGGTGACACCAACTTTGAAATTCAACAAAAATTTTTTGTTACGTTCATAAACTTAAATGTTCTCAAAACAACTAAAAAAACCTGGCCAGTTTTTTGCAACTAAATATATTTTCTGTGGTCAGTATTCGAGAGCAATATATGAAAAAGTTTTCAAAATTGTAAAAGTTAAAGCTATGAATAAAGATTTTCAATCATTAGACACTTACCCTTTAATAATTTTGTTAATTCAACTTCTCAGAGCAAACATTAAACTTCTGTAAAGATTTTGGAGTTACAGGTAAATCCCAAAGTTTAATAACATTTTTTGTTTTATTATTAGAAAATGAGGATAAATCATCTACACCAAGATATACACTATTTTTTGTCTCTTCAATCTTTATTTTGACTGGTCATTTTCGCTGTCTCCCTTTTTTGTCTTTAGAGCAGAAATTTAGCCTTATGCTAAATTCAATCTTGTATTGCTTTAAAAATCTATAAATCAAATCATTATTAATTAAGTTATAACTAAAGTTAATGTAATATAATAATGTAATAATAATAAAAGCTTAAAGTTGTTAACTGTTGTACGCAAACTAAATATAGAAAATATCCAGAGATATTAAATTAAAAAATAATGAAACCAAAACTAATGTCCCTCTGCCTTGTAAAGATAGAATATTAGAAAGCTCTACATAAGTAGAATATAAGTTCTAGTAACATCACATTTTGTACACTGTTTTAATATGTTAGTAGATGGGGTTTCATAATCAAACACAGAAAAAATCAAACAAAAGAGACATATTTAAAATGTAAAATATCTGCTTCTAACAACTTCAATGCCACATATATATTATTGATACCTTTAATAATATATCTTATAATAGCTATATAATCTAAACTATTATAAATAATGAAAAAAAAAAATTATACTGTATGACATTTTAAATGTTTGATTTATTTAATAAAGAAGACATTTAAAATGTCTCCTTTATTAAATAAATCGAACATTTGAAATGTTTCATTTATTTATAAATAATAATATTAAATTTTATAAAATAATAATAAAATTTAATAAATTAAATTTAATAAAGATTAAATTTAAATAAAACAAACATTTGAAATGCCAATACAGCAATAAAAATAAAAAATAACTTAAAGATCTTACAAAAAAATAATTTGATTATTGCCTTTATTATTACATTAATAATTTAGATTGTAGTAAAAAATGTTTTAAGCATATTATTTAAATGTTAACAAATATTTCATTTAAAAAAACAAAACATTAGGTCACGAGAATCTCTTGAAGTTTACTTCTTATAAGAAACCTTTTAAGATTCTTAGAAGATTAATAAATATAGCTTCTTTTTTTTGTTTTTATTACTTAATTAAATGGAAAGATATATAATAGTATCAAAACCTTTTTTTGTTCTGTCAAACGATACCATTTTTAAAAAATGTTTCGAAACAATTTAAAAGTACGGTAAAAAGTAAAAACAGATTTTTATGGCAAAATATTAAGCCTAAACTACATTGGCCAAATATTGGCCCAACGTAGTGCGATAATTGCAAAAAACCGATTTGTAATATTACGCCGAATTCACGGTCGTTTAGATGTGGAAAGTTATTATACGCAAGCGCAGTGTCAAATTCAAATATTATAATTTTAAAGATGGTGACGGCCTTTAGATACCAAAATTTTTTCTGAGTAGCAACAATATTTTTAAAGTTTTACTTAGTAGTTATTATTTGCATATTTTTGATAGAATGAAATAATAATAAAGATAATTGAATTGTTGATTCAAAAATGATAAAAACAATATAAAGATGTTTAAATATATAAAAAACTGTGATTCTCTGCTACATTTATCTGACTGTTAAAAGCGTGATTTGTTTACATTTTCAAAACTGTTTTTCTAAAAATCTGAGCGATAGAATTTAATAATTTTTACTTTTTTATTTCGAATAGTCTTATCTTGATTTGAAATTGTTTTCAGATCTGAGTATTCAATTTTTTTCTAAAACAAAAATAGAACTCACATAACACTACTTTTATAGCTAATATATATATATATATATATATATATATATATATATATATATATATATATATATATATATAATATATATATATATATATATATATATATATATATGTATATATATATATATATATATGTATATATATATATATATATATATATATATATATATATATATATATATATATATATATATATATATATATATATATATATAATATATATATATACATATATATATAGATGAATTTCAATGTTTACATTTCCGTCGCATGCGCACTAGGTGGCAGGAATAAAAACCGATTTGCAAACATTGAGAACGTTTATTAAACAAACATTGATATAATTAATCTGCTTGGTAACTTAATTAGATTAAAGTTTTTTTTAAATTCTTAAAATATAATGCCTGACAGTTGTTGTGCTATAGGGTGTATGAATAAAAGGATAAAAGGCGATAAAAACTTGAGTTTTTACCGCATTCCTTTTGGAAATACAGAAACATCAAAAAACAGAAGAGTTTTATGGTTGCAAGCCTTTAAACGTAAAAACTGGCCAATAAGTATGATTGATAACGCAAGATTATGTAGTAAACATTTTATTTCAGGTATTTAATTTTTTTTTCTTTTGATAACTAGAAGTTTTTATAATATTATTATTATCTTTGTTTTTATTTAGTTTAACATAAGTTCATTATTTTAATAAAATAAATAAGGTTTTAATTTTTTTTCTTCTCTATTTTTAGGCAAAAAATCAGACAATCCTATTAGTCCTGACTATGTTCTATCTGTTTTTTTATACAGACAGCAATCTTTTTCAAAAAAACATCAAAGTATTGAAAGATTTGAAAGAAGTTGTAAAAGAACAAAAAAAAATACTGAAGATAATTTATCTCAAACAAAAGCTGAAAATGAACAGATGTCAGTTAATATGAATGCAGTAACATCAGTCGACCCTTTCAAATTAAATCAAGGTAAATAAGTTTTAATTTAATTTTAAGATTTTACTTTCGTTCTTTGATAAAATAAATGGTTACATAATTATGTTTTTAGAATCTCAGACTGATGATGTTAATTTTGTTGCTGAGCTACATTCTAAAGTCAAAACTTTGAGTAAAAATAATGTTGAATTAAAGATTACAATAAATAAAGCTATAACATCATCTGTTTCTCAATATATTTCGTTTGAAAAACTAAAAGATGATAATTCACTTTTATCTTTTTATACTGGTTTGCCAAATGCAAATTTATTTTTGTGGTATTTATCATTGTTTAAAGATTGTGTAAAACCAATGAAAAATATACCAATGGAAGACCATTTATTGCTAATATTAATAAAAATCAAACTTGGATTTTTAAATAAAGACTTGAGCTTTAGATTTGGTTTTTCTGAGCCAACAGTCACTAGAATATATAGATCTTGGCTTCCAATTATTGCTGAAAATGTTAAGTTTTTAATTGTTTGGCCAGAAAAGCATGTTTTGCGAAGAAATTTGCCAACAAGTTTTCGCAAAAAGTTCTATAATTGTGTTGCAATAATTGATTGCATGGAAATACTCATTGAAAGACCTTTTAGTCTTCATGCTCGAGCTCAAACTTGGTCAAATTATAAAAACAACAACACAATTAAATATCTCATTGGTATAACTCCATCAGGTGCTGTAAGTTTTTTATCCCGTGGATGGGGTGGTAGAGTTTCAGATAAAGAAATTACAATTAAATCTGGATTTTTAGAAAAAATAACCCATGGAGATTGTGTACTTGCTGATAGAGGATTTACACTTGTTGAAGAATTTGCTACAAAAGGTGGGATTTTAAAATTACCGAAGTTTACCAAAGGAAAAAAGCAGATGTCTTCTGCTGAAGTTGATGAATCACGTCAAATTGCACATGTAAGAATCCATGTTGAAAGGGTAATTGGACAGTTAAGAAAATTTCGAATTCTTCAGAACATTATCCCATTAACTCAAGTTGATTTACTTGATGATGTTATGGTAACAATAACTTCATTAGTAAATATTAACAGTAGTGTTGTTCCTCTAAGCTCATAGGAGTGAAAAACCTTTTTATTTTAACTTTATTTTGTATTATCTTACATTTGGATTGTCTCAAGTACTCTCGAGTCCTTAATACAAGGGGAAGGGGGTGGTTTGTCAAGATCTAATGAAAGTAGGGGGTGAGAATTTATACTAAAAGTTTTATTATTTATTAGTTACGAGTATATATTTTGTATAATATTATAAGGCCGATTTTCACTGAATTATTTTTTTTAGTTTCGATAGTTTTAGAAACTTTTTGTTGATAACAAGTGAAAATTAATAAACAGAGTGGTCTTAATAAGCTTAAGGTAGGTGGGAAAGTTTTCAAAAATTTAATAGAAATCCCCCCTACCCTTCTAATAAAGACTCGAGAGTAGTAAATTTTATATTACTAAATAATTGTTAACAGTTTATTGATTTTTTATTTCTGAAAAAAGTGCCAAAATGTCGTTGACAAAGTAAGATATTTAATAAATATAATATATCCTTTAGTTTATTTATATGCATTCCTTGCAGAACCATTTACCTTTAGGGCCATTTTTTATTTCAATGCAACTGTAATGAAACCATCCTATTTTGCAGTTTTTTCCGTCGCATCCAATCATTGATGTAAAACTTGGACGTTTGCAAATGCAGTATGTTTGATCGCTCAAAAGGTTGTTAGGATCATTTTTTCTAGACACTATTTCAGGTAGTAAAAATTTAAAAAATATTGTTGTCAACTTTGTTTCCAGTTTTTCACAAAAGACCCTATCAATCGGAACATTAATTAACATTGTATCATTTTCATTTTTTCCTTCGGTCCAAATGTAAAAATGGCAGTATGTAGTATTAGTAATATATATTTCTTGCTGCACTTGAAAGTAATACTGGTGTGTTTTCTTTACTGTATTGTCAAAATTTACAGGAAAATCCGTATCTGTTTTCCAATTTTCTAACCCATTTCTATACTTATATGGGCACTTAATTTCCACTACACCGGAACCAAGACAATCACAACACACCATACTATCAGGTGAAGCACCAAGACATGGATTTTTGTGAAGAACATGCAATCCAGTTTCTGTAACAACTATATTTGTATGTGTTTTTGCGACAAATTGCTTGTAAGAATTTATTGCTACAGTCTCCATTTTCTTACCATAACTCGTAGGTTTTGTAATGAATTCTGCGTTGTATTGCATCACTGTGTTTATAAACGACTTAGGGTATTTATCAACTTTTATGTTGTACGTAGTTTTTGATAACGATGCTGTTATTCTACCTGCCCTGTGCAACTTCCAGATTCTACTAGCGCTTTGAATATTTGTAACTTTAAGTAAATTGCTGTACATGTTAACACTTTGAGTGATTTTGTACTCCTCGTATGATTCTGCGCAATATTTTGTTAAGGTGGAATCATCTAAATTAATTGATGCAGGCACTTTTTTTTAGTGGGGCTGGGGTTGCTG